AGTCGGGATCGAGCAGCGGAAGCCGCCGGTCGGTTGAAAAGGTCAAGAATGAATTGTGAGAGTTATTTTTAAGTGCGATTAAACTAAGTGAAGAACGAAAATAAAGCGGCTCAGTGAAAGAGATAAGACGAAGAAGAATTTCAATTAGGAGAGGCGGCGGCGGTTAAGCAGAGGATCACAGAGTTTACATTAAGGGAGGCGGCGACGGGTAAGCAGAGGATCGGACGAAGCGAGCGGTGCACGTGAGTGGCGGTTATCATAGTGAGTTTTCCCCCCCTCTTTCCCTTTTCCCGGTCAATATCACTAACATCCCCCCCCTGGTGTCTCACGATTCAAATAAATTTCTTGTGAGTACACCCTGGGCAGACTGAGTCTGTCCCCGGCTTAAATTTACTACCTTACATTATTAAGATATCAGTTCCTAGAAATGTTCAGGGGATCTTGTAGTTGAGGAGTCTCGACCAAAGCTTTCCTACTTGTTTAGGATGTTGAAACAAGTAGATTTGAAGAATGCATTTAATATCCTAGCAATCAAGGCAAAATCTGTATACTTCACACTCCAGAAGGTGTATTTATGTATATAATAGTCCATTTAAGATTTTATGAACGACTTATTTATATACATAATATCTATAAATAACTATTGAATATGGGGAGACCGACATATTATTTACACAAATTAACGGATTATGCTACATTTATAGTTGGCAACCAACACACAGCAGCAAAAATTCGTTAGCAAATATGAAAAATTATTTAAGATATCATTTGCCTCTTTTTATTTATTATTAGCGGCGGGGCAACCATCGYTTACTAAAAACACATACATACATTTATTTTTTAATATAATTTACAATTTAAATGTTTAAGCAATTACTTATGAGTAAACAACTAAATCCAAATTTTGAAATAAAAATGCTTTTTACCATTAAGAAGCTTATTTCGTTTAATAGCATAGCGATTAACACAAAAAATACAAACACTGTTAGGTAAATAAAATACTCATAATATATTATACATTTACTGCCAATAATGCTCTGAATATCGTCGCAGAACATAATTGCTTTTAACTATCTAAGCAGCATTGATCAATTTTGGCAGCCTATTAACAACGATTTAAGTACAAAATTGTTGCCTATATCAATAGGTTTTTGAATGCTGCACATAAAATAGCATTTTAATTTTTTATTTAAAGTTATCCTAATCTAGCGTATATGATAACCGTTAAAAAAGTTGTTTTTTAATCTAAAGTAAACAGATAGAATTAATTTTTATTTAACGATTATTTCATTCTAATACTTATTTTAAGTACTCAGTTTATAGTAATGCATATATATATATATGTGTGTACATCAAATCATATTCTATAGAAATACACTTTTTTAATTACACCCGGGCATTAATACGATTAATAGAAATTAATGTGAATTTTCTTAAATATGGGGAATACAAGAAAAACTGTATGTATGAATTTGTTTTTTTAAGATTTTTTTAAAGATTTATT